AGAAAAATTATATACATTTTTAAAGACAGTTTTTACTTTAGTGCGAATTAACATCAAAGTTTATTTATTTTAGATTGTTTGAGCAAAAAATGTCTTAAGTGAAATTACTTATTTTTAACAGATATTTCTCAACAAAACAAATATTTGGAAAATTTAGTATTTTAGAATTAATAAGGTTTATTTCAATTGTATTTTTAAAAAGTAACAAAACTACAAAAAATGTTACAATATTGATAAAAACATGCTGGTTTTTTTAGTAACAGTGAACGTTCGTTCCTCTGTATCGTAACTAAAAAAAATTTACTTTGTGAGTGCTTCGGGATATTATGATAACTCTAATTGCAACACTATGATCATGTAAATTCTAATCAGTTATAACGATAATAACAATTCTTTTTTAGTGAGTATAAAAGGTAAATGATAGAAAAATATTGAAGCGTTTTTTTTACGTAATCAGAAACCAAGAAAGACTGCTCCTATTAATATTTGCTAGATGGTACGAGTGTTATCACTTCCCATATAGGGTTTACGTGCCTTATAACATCATGCGTAAGATTACACTTATCACAGTCAGTTTTTTAAGTAAAAAAAAAGCTCATATCCAGTATTTTACAGTAATCTATTCGATAAAGCTGTTAGATTTAATAAGCTTTTCTAGTATTTTTACTTATTTTATAGAAAATTACGTAAGATAGCTGATAAGTTTGTCATAATTTGCCATTACAAGAATTTACTGGCCGAAGAGTTTTATTTTTATAATTATAACTATGAAAGAAGCTAACGATACCAGATGTTGTTTCAAGAAAAAGACTTCTCTGGTCACAGTAGAAAAATTCTTTTCATTTCACAATGTTGCAGCTTTGTTCTTCGTAAAAGTTACATACCTCTTCAGCTGTGATAAAAAGCATACAATGAGGTTGCTGACTCAAGGTTATATTAATTTTTTTGACTAACAACAATAATTTACACTAATTATTTATGATACATTAAACAGTATTAAATTAATTGGTAATTTATTCATGTTGTGAGAAACGTCAATATAATTTTTTAGAGAATTTGTTACAGCAGTACAATAATAGAAGTTATCAATGCGATTAATGAGAAAAATGATGAGAAGATGAGAAAAATAAAAAATAAAAAATTTCCTTTAAAATTTTTTTTAACTCCAAAATTTAAATAATAATAGTAGAAATTGTACTCTACATAGATATACTTCTGAAAGAATTTTTCTGAAACAAAGAAAAAAAAGCACATAAAAAAAACCTTACTTGTGCATCTGTAAGTCCAAGTGTTGCAGCCAGTTGACGTCTGTCTGGTTTTGTAATGTATTTTTGTATTGAAAAACGTCTCTCTAAACCCTTGTGCTGTAACGATCTGAACACAGCCCTTGACCAGGACCTCCGCCTGCAATTATTACTGTCAACATGCCTGTCAGTTGAGCCATTGGATGATATCGTGATTTCTGTAACAAAATATCAAAACAATATGTTATTAAGTTGTATGTTTTTCTATAAATAAGACAGTTGAATAAATTTTAGTCTACAGAGTTTATTTTAAAAAAAAAGTAAATTTCAATTAAAAGTTACTTCTTCGGATGATTATTATCAAATATTTTTCACGTCATATCTTATAACAATCTATAAAATAAGGAAATTATAGCGAAAAACTGTAAAAAAATTGGATTTTAGCTTTAAATAGGTAAGTAACGTTTTTTTTTGGTCCATTGTATAAGTTGTTCTTAAACCTTTAACTTCTGTAGATATATTTAAAAACATATCACTAAAATAATAAATTTCTCAATTGAACTATTCCAATTAAAATTAGGTATCTTGTAAAATATATTATAGATGACACTTAATTTTTGCCCTTTTTTTCGTGAAATTTGTAAAATACTATGTCTTCTGCCAGGTTAAATAAATCTTTATATTACTTCTAAATTTAAAAAAAGTTTCAATCTTCTTTGAATTCCATGCTAATTAACAGTGAAATTAAATTATTTATTTATACTCATTTTAACTAAAAAAGAAATTTAATTACCAATTTGAACTTATGTTAACTTAGAACAGAATTAAATGGTTAATTTACAAGTAAATCAATCAAATAATTGACTTAAATTGTTCATTAAAATGTAATAAAATTAAGATTATATTGAATT